TAAAAGCGTGATTCAAATGAGCCAATCAGAGACCGTGCTGGTCCTCTGTGTGGGTATCGTACGTTGGTGCATTTGTTTCTGTCTTCCCTTCCTGAATTCATCCCCTGTATTTAAACTGGGAGGAATACGTCACTGTGACCGCGGTGTGTGTAACCACATCAGCCTGCACTCAGCCTCCACTTTCAACACAAGAATAACATGTGACATCACTTTACTTCTACAGGGTTAGCGCTGCAGAGCGCAAGCAAAACGCCAAGGCAAGCAGCGCCTAAATTTACAGAATGGATGGGAGTTTTTTTGAGAATTAGAAAACCCAGAGTTGCCCTGGGAAAATTACAACATTACAACTCCAGTAGCAGAACTTGCTACAGACGTCCATCCTTCTTCTCAAGCCAGCGATTTGGAGGGTTTTTAAATAGATGTTCACATGCTTCTGACGCCCCTGACGAAAATAGGAAGGCAGTCACAAAACAACACCCAGCTTCAGAAAATAAAAACAGCTTCAGGGGGAAAGGCGTTGTGTTGTCAAGCCACTCTTCCGGCTTGAGTTCAAAAAGCATCCTGACGCTTTTCCTCTTCCTGCTGTGTGTACTGGGCAGGATGCTGAGAGACAGGGCAGCTTTGTGCTCATCACTCATTTTGCAACCAGCAGCAACTACTTCCTTGACTAGTTTACAGTTATGTACACCTTCATTTGGCGGGGCTGGGGAATTCTGTCTAAGAGTGACAGTATTTATAGCAGTATCTCTGCAAGTCAACACTTTAACATAACAACTTCTTTGCTGTTGTGTAAATGGCAGGCCTGTGCTACCAAACTGCCCAGTTTCACCTTCAATTGAAAGTTTTCATTTCAATTGTTTAAAAAAAAACAAGGAGTTTTTCCTCAGACAAAATATGTTATTTTAGCTGGACCATTAAACTCTGTGCTTCTTGTAATCAGAGTTTGAGTAATGACCGGCTAATGGCCCAGATATTCTGATTCATTGTGCTCACTACGAGTCAACAGGGTCAAGAATATCCACTTAGTGTCCCAAATGGATTCGTTTTCTCCCTCGTCTCTCCGAGTACACCCACTGCAGGCCTGTGCTGATCCAGGATATGTGGAAACAATGTAAAGTAGGCAGCTTGTCCCTCCAGCTATGAGAATGTGAAGCAGGGTCACCGCAGCAAGGACTGTTGTTTGTGGCCTTTAGCTTTGCCACCTGGCTAAACAAGAGGAGAGATGTCTGAGAGTCTGTCTGCTTGCTGCAGATAAACAAACCTGCTAAAGCACAAGTATTCATGTGTGCTAATGTTGTCAAAAATATTGCTTTATTGATAAATATTGATTCTTATTATTTTGAAGTTTCAGTACTCATTTTCCACAATGTTGATACACTGATGTTTGCACCATGTGCAGGTTTTTGCTGATACTCTTGGTCTTTCATGACACAAGGTTGAATGGCAAGATGTAGATGGATGCTGCACCAAACTTTACAGTTCAAGTCGGTTCAGCTCAACACAATGCCTTTTTTGTTGTCCAAAGTCATGACATTAAATCATTCTGCCATGAGGAAAACAAGGAAGAACATAAACAAGAAATTTACAATAGACACCAGTCATTCAAAGTTTCAGACAGAGTTCAATACACAGTTTGAACAGCTAAAGATAGTCCAACTCCCACCAATTGACCTGACAAACAAACGTGTCACAGACACCACTTTCACAAACAAAGCCTGTGCATCATGTTTGATAATGAACATGCAATGTAGGGAAGCCAAAAAATAAGTAGCAACACCCATCACAAGTTACCCGAGCCCAAAGAGCTGCAATAAAACAGCTTGTTTTGTCCAACCAGCAGCTGAAATTCAAGATATTATATCAACGCTGACATGTAAAGAGAAAAGGAAGCAGCTTCTCAAACTGATGAGTTACTAGATTATTTCATGACAGAGTGTTTTCATAGCCTGGAATCCTGCAAATTCAACCGCCATGTCTTTCATTAATTAAGTTTAAGCTTAGAATTTGCTGCACATGACTGTGCGGTGTCTAAATATGGGCCCACACTTGCCGAGGCAGACTCGCCATCATTGCGACGTCTGCAAATCTGATAAATGTGCCTGTCCTGGTATGGTCTCCTGCAGTCATCTGCACAGAGAATAAAAAGACATCCCAAGGGCAGACAGTGGAGGAGAGGCTCTTTAAAGATAAAACCTATGAACCCGCAGCTGATTGAGTCTACATGATGGAATCCATCATCGGCACGGCCCATTTGAGATTAAATTTAAAGAGAAATAGCTCAAATGTGAGGCATGATTGGGTGAATTTGCTGGAATGTGTGGCATCATGTAAGTGAAGGGTCCCAATTCAAACCCTGCAAAACATCTTTGTCCATCAAGTGCTACTGAGAACCACACTGCAATACCATTTTGTTAAAAGAGATTGTAATAATCCCCGCCAAAACACGACTGAAATTGGACATGAAGGAGAAATTAGAGATCAAATAGCCATGTCGTGTTATCTTAATTCATATCACAACTTCAAAAATGTGCAGCAGTGTGTTAGAGAGAAAATGTGTCCTCCTCCCTCTGCTTTCTCTACCATCAGACTACCTCCTTTTTACGCTGTCAAGACTTCGTGCACCCCCAGTTACAGTTAAAAAACCCAGTGTGAACGCTAGCTGTCAAGTGGTCAGTTATTTAACCTGCCATGTGACAATAGGGTAAGGCGGGAGGGTCAAATCCCACTGTGGTCAGTCTTGAGCGATAAAGACAGATCCCTCTAACCGTTAGCTAATCCTGACAGAGCGGCCCTGCCAACATCATTAGGATAAAGTGTGTCAGCCACCACAGTCGCTCGACACTTGAAAAGAACGCCGAGGAAGGTGCTGCTATTTAAAAGCATGGAGCAGAAGAACCACACAGTCACATGATATTCTACACCATGGAGATTAAATTCGAAAAGACTTGGTAGTTATTATAAACGCGTCTCCTCGCTTGTCTGCGGAATAATCACAGGAAAAAGGAGTGGGCTCCTCTGTGATGCAACTGCAGTGACATGGATGCAGTGTTTCTAAAGACCTCTAAATCCTGTTAGGACATCACACTTTTGCCTCTGACTAAATTACTTTCAAACACAGTCATTTAGTCATTGTTCAGACTGTTCTAGTTTGCCTCTCCATTCATTTTTCATCACTTCAAAGACTTCCTGAATGAAATGTTTGCATACTGACACAGCATGGACTCACACCGCCGCTCCACAGTGTTGAAGGACCACAGACATACCAGTCGGTTTCTTTTACTGAATCTCCAAGTAGGACATATTTCTGTCCAAGCCTCGGTATCTTTTAATCAGACTATTTTCCAGCTCAGAAATTCCAAGTATTTAATTTCCCCTCACATATTCTTGTCAGGTTAGGAAAGTCTCAGAAATAGCATTCAGACGGAGCATTGAAAACCAATGTGATGTCAGGTCTTTCAGGTGGGTTAGCAGGATGACACAGGTGTTAGATGGCCAGCTTTGAATCAAAGGACCATATCATCAAAACTACCAGCAACTAATTCAAACTGAGTAAATTCACTGATTTTGTGGGCAGCAGAACAAAAATAAGACAACAACAGCTGAGCAAAACAGGAGCAGTTTGTGGATTAATCATTAACAGATCGACAGAAAATTAATTGGCAAATGTTTTGATAAAAGATTAATAGCTGCAGTCAAAGCAAAAACACAAAAAATATAAGGATTTAGACTGTTGGAAGACACTATCATGGACTGAGTTAAGTCTCACAGGCATTTTTGATATATTTTCCTATTTCATGGATAAAACGATGAAACAATTAATCCAGAAAACTACATCCAGACTCATCAATAATGAAACAACCATTAGTTGCAGCCCTAATATAAACTACTAATGCTCCAGTCTTATACGAGCATTGCTGCCACTGATGCCAACCAAACAGTCTTTGTTTCCATAACCATCATGGCATCTATCACTTGTACAAATTACAGCCTGCATAAAGCTGTAAAGACCTTGGGCTTGTACAGTTAACAAACCGTCGATGACACCATAATTGTTTCCCCAATGTCAGACACCCCGGGCAGACGGCGGTGCCACTGACTGTAGCTCCACTGGTTTAAGTGGTGGCCTATTGATTGTCCATTGTGTGTAAAAGCTGCATCCATTTGCAGTGGGAGCAGTGCGCAAATGAAAAGATGCCATCCTCGCAGCCAAACTGGATTTATTGCGTGTATCTGCAGAGCATAACTGGTATTATCTGAAGCCATGTGAGCTTGGGTGTGTGTGGCTAGAGGATAATAACCACAGCCCACAGGATTTGCATGTGCAGGAGACATACAACTCCTCACCTCCCAAAGGCGGCTACTGGTATGGATCAGGTGATACTGGGGTGATATTGTGCAGTGACAGCACTGAGCTTGACCATTAGAGGGTCCAGTGAAGCCCTAAATCATGGCAACGATGGGAAAAACTAAGGGAGAATAATGCAGGGCCTAATATAGAAGCATTGATCATTGAGTTGTGTTTCAGTGTGCCAAACATGACTGGAAAATTTAAAAAATAAAGAGGAATAATATCTGTTTTAGTAGGCTAACATTAGGGTAGGATTAGCCTCCATATGCCTCATCTTTCTACCCTATTTTAATGTGTTTCTGCAAAATGCAAAACTCAGTTTAGCCTTTGCAAAATGCACGTCTTGAATGTAAAAGCAGGGTGCACAAATAGATGCTGGTTTAAGTTAGACTCCCACCAAGGCTGCAGGCTCCTGTTATGTTAAGTAGCCTTGATTATCTGTGCTGATAGAGGGCTTATCGGGATGTAGCCATACCTAACACTGGAACAAGCTGAATGGCAACAGTTGCACACACTTCTCTGTTGCACTTCATGATGTTACAATGTAGAGTATGCTGCAATGTTACACTGAAGCAACTGAGTGGCAAACACAGCACATAAGAGCACTTTTAAAATGCAGATTGCACTGGAATAATAAATTATTTCTTCTGACCTGTTGCGTCCTTTCAGCCGGATTCATCATCACAGCCTGCCGAAAGCTGTTATCCACATAAGACGCCATTGTTTTGGAAAACGCCGTCTGAAGGATACTGAATTCCTTATCCTAAATTAATGTTAAGAATATCCAGCTCCACGGATATAAACAAAAGAAGCCCCCCTTGGTGTCTTGCTTTATTCTTGTCGCCTGTGGTCCGATGCTAGCGGATAAGCTGGGAGTGCCCGGAGCCAGGCCACGACTGGAGCCAGACAGCCGAGCAGTCTCCTCGGGGGTGTCAGTCTTTCTGTTGCCCGAGCCCGAAACCGGCTGCCAACCACCGGGTCCCGCCGAGAGGAAACTTCTTGTAAAAAGCTTGGCTCAAACTGTCTCGTCGGAGTTATTTCTTTATGGTGAAAAATGTCCCTTTATTCAAGGCAGCGTTCATCAAAGCCATTCCTTGTCTCTTCAGCATTCTGCTAGCGACGGAAAGAAATTACATGCAGGAGCCCAGCAAACACAAAAAAGTAAGCTAGCGGCTAACGGCTATCCCGTCAACAACAACCTGGCGTCCATTATGAGAGGTAGAGCCGAGTACACTCACTGAGGAAATTCAGTATATTAACATTTTTAATAGGTCTAAAAGTGGAGATAGGTCCGCCGCCGCTGTGCTCTGTTGTATGCCACCATGGTGACTGACACAGCAGGGTGAAGTCGGCCATAGTTAACGGCCGCACTTCCGGTATCGGCTTTCAAAATAAAACTCCAGCGTGCTCGTTGATAAACGGAGACAATGAAGGCAGGGAGGGGTCTGTGGAAAATTAACATATATCTTACCACATTGATTTAGCTGTGCATCATTATAAAGATGAAATGAAACCCAAGGACACATGCTAATTATAGGTTACAGTACACTACATGACATGCAATGAAATGTACCATAGTATTCCATGCATCACGACGCACCATTCATATACCCTAACTCAGTATCTATTTTACTTAATTCCCATGATTAATTTGCTTATTTGTTTTCGCGTCACAGACTTTGATGCTTGTATTAATCTATTATTTTTGCTTGTTCCTAATCGTCAATTTTACTGTCTTATTTTGAAGGCCAAATCACTCCATTTCCTGTCTACCTGTTGTAAACTGCGTTTGACTTGACAGAGATCCACTCACAAGGGGCGGCTCATGGGCGAGTCCATTTAACAAAAAAGAAAAAGAAAAAAGAAAAAAGTGGGAATAGGAAGAGGAGGACAATGTGACAAAGTGATGCTTTGGGACCATCTAGTGACGTAATGAGGTAATGCACATTTAGATGGGTGCGCAAATGCAGGGTGTGATCATGAATATTACAAAAACCTGGTTATCCTTAATCAAATTATTAAGATAGGATGAAATTAATTAATTGATTAATGATTTTTATTTTGGTTACATGCACCTGGAGAAACAAAGATTCTCCCACACAGATTTTCTCACAATTAAAAAAAAAGAATAAGCTGAAGCTCCAGGCTTATTTTTGCCTATCCTATATTAACCAACAAAAAACATGTGAAGAAGGAAACAAGCAACGAAAGAAGAAATGACCCAAAAAAATAGCAAGAAGTGAGTGAAAAGCTAAAAAATAAAAACAAGAAAATTAGTTTAAAAAAAAATAATAAAAGTGTTTAAAATAAACAAACAAGGAAATGACCTGGAAAGAGTGTCCCTATTTAAAAAAAATAAATAAATAAATCTAAATCGATTAATTTTTTGCAATTTTTGGGACATTTCTAAACAAGTTGCTCGTTGCCTTTTCCCCCATGTTTTTTAAAGAAATTGCACCACTTTGCAATTCACAATTCTTTTGCATTTTGATAATTTTACATTATAATCTGTAATCAATTTGCATTTTGAGGCTTTTTTAAACTCAGAGAGCTACATGATTTCAAATCAGTCCCCTCTATAGTTTGACTCCCAAAACTGAAACAAATCTGTATGTTACATTAGATTACACCTTACATGTTTCATAAATAAACAACCCTCTTAAAGTATAATTTCTATCTCTTAATTTAAAAGAATTGAATACAGACAGGAAGGTTTCTGTTCACAACTTGAAAAAGTATTTCCAATGTTTTTAAAGACACAATTTCTGGAATTTTTAAGGTTGATTAGTAGATTCCCGATAACCAGCTTTATGTATTATTCTGAGGGCTCTTTACTGAAGTTTAATTGAAGGATCTATATTTGTTTTGTATGCATTTCCCCAAATTTCAGCACAGTAGGACATATACAAAAAGTTTGTTTTATTCACTCTCTCAGTTTCAGTTTTATGTCACAATAAGCCCTGAGGCAAACCATTTTTCAACATGATCAATTCCCTTTGTACTGTTTTGATAACTCTTTCATTTCATTGCCAAAGAAAAAATAAAAATAAACAAAATATAAATGTACCACAGCAATATTAACAGATTATGTTAAAGAACACAAAAAAAATGCAGCGTTAAGTTGATGTAAATTCATTTTTATGTTATCATGTGAGAGTCACCTATAAAGCAGCACTGAATTTACAAGCAAACTTCAAATTGAGGAATTTGCTTTTTCAGGTGTAGTTCACTATTAATGCACAATTATGGCAAACCTTTGTTTTTTTGGAAAAGTCATTCCAAATTCAGTTAATTGGGGCTGCAATAATCACTATAAAACTCCACAAGATCCTGCAGGGACTGACCAATACACCCAGTGTCTGCATAGGGCGTTAATATGTAAGATAAGCTGTGCTAAGATAAGATAAGATATAAGACTTCATTGATTTCAGAGGAAATTCACACTCGCATTACAGCAGCTCAGAAAGAGGCTAAATAAGAAAACAGATAAAGAACTCTTGAATGAAATAAATAGATACATACATAAAAAATATATTCCGATACCTTAGACTATATAAGTGAATTATGGAAGCAGCTGTGCATTTAAGCATGTAGATACAGATATAAATAATAAGTACAACATCCAAAATAATATAACAATATAAATGTTATGCTGTTGAAGGTGTGACTCTATTTATAAAGCAGTTCATAAAATGAGGTACTGTAATTTTACCACAGTATTATAATGATATTATTTCTGACTTTATATTGATTGATTTAATTCAGTAATGTGGGATAAATCCAGATTAAAAGTGATATGTAGTCAACATGCTTCAGTAGCAGAGCATCCCCTGTTTTTAAAATGTAACTAGGACACAACCACTGACGCCATGACAACCAGTGGTTGCATGACAACCAAGCATGACCCCATGGACAGAGCAGACCGCTGGGCTCAAGTTATCACCCAAGGGGGCCCGTTATATCAGTGTATCTAACCTGCAACTAATGCAAACATAACAGTGGAGGAAAAAAATGATGCAAAAGAGTGAAGCAGCTGCAGGACAGCCACAGTGCGGACAGAGTATGATTTTTACAGGTAGGAGAAACAAAGAGAGATTCTCTGCGTCTTTATTTACTCCTTCTGGTAATTATTTTTTTTCTTTAAAATGTTGTACATGTACAGTTTATAAAAAATATTATTTTAACATGATGTTTTTAGTCACAAGTATGTATAGATCATTAAATGTTAGATTCAGTGCTAAAACTTGAGGCAAAGCTGATGCAATATAAAAGGACATACAATTTTTAAAACCACCAGAGGCAGTAGAGACATAATTCCATATAGAGCAACACTGCAACACTAGCAGGATACATTGTTAGCAGCAGCAGAAAATAATTTAATGCTTACATGTGTATGTATTAATCATCCATTGAATGTACCTTTATTGAGTAATTCAACTAAGTGCAATCCTGGAAGTAGAATTTGCTCTAAAAGTATAATATGGTGTTGTCATTATTGCAGCTAATTGGTGGGAAGTTACATTGTCCGATTGCTACAACCCAGTTTCCTGTGGGATTATCGTAAAGAGCCTAAAACATTTAATAACTATGTATTGGCTGAGCAAATATCACTGTCATTGGAAACATGATAGCACTGTTAACAGGGCCAAAAGTGAGTTAACATACCGTATGTGTACCTGTGTGCCTGTCTGAGTTTCTGTAATTGTAAAGTATATATTTTGTATACATCAGGGCATATCAGGGTTCATGTAGATGTGCATTCATGCATTAGACAGCTTAAAGTGTGATGTGCAAACATATTGGCGAGTTCTTTCATGTCTAAGGATAATTAATATATGTTTCTTGTATGCATGAATGGATTATTGAGGAGGCCTACCGGGCACAGGCCCAGGGGTCCATAAGTGTCGGGGCCCCCTCTCACCTTCACCTGCATAATATCACTCACATTAACACAAACCAACCAGAAAAATACTCAATATGACCACAAAAGATGCAAATGAACAACAAAGAGACACAAGTTAACTACAAAAAGAGTAAAACAATCACAAAGGGGCACAATATGACCACGAGATATAAAACAACCTAAAAAGACACAAAGGTACCCCAAAGAGGCGCAAAACGACCACAGAGAGATATAAAACAACCTAAAAAGACACAAAAGTACCCCAAAGAGTCACACAGTTACCACAACAAGATGCAAAATTACTACAAAGCGACACAAAACAACAAAAAAAAGGCACGAAAGTACCCCAAAGAGTCACACAACCACCGCAACAAGATGCAAAATAACTACAGAGATATAAAACAACCTAAAAAGACACAAAAGTACCCCAAAGAGGCACAAAACACCCACAAAGAGATAAGAAAACAACCTAAAAAGACACAAAGGTACCCCAAAGAGGCACAAAACCACCCCAAGATGCAAAAATTACTACAAAGAGACACAAAACAACTAAAAAAAAGACTCAAAAGTACCCCAAAGAGGCACAAAATGACCACAGAGAGATAAGAAAACAACCTAAAAAGACACAAAAGTACCCCAAAGAGGCACAAAACCACCACAAGATGCAAAAATTACTACAAAGAGACACAAAACAACTAAAAAAAAGACTCAAAAGTACCCCAAAGAGGCATGAAATGACCACAAAGAGATAAAAAAAACAACCTAAAGACTCAAAGTTACCCCAAAGAGGCACAAAATGACTTCAGAGATGCAAAATAACTACAAAGAGACATAAAACAGCACAAAAAAAAAACACAGAATTACCCCAAAGAAGCACAACACGACCACTAGGAGATATAAAACAACCTAAAAAAGACACAAAATTACCCCAAAGAGGCGCAAAATGACCACAAAGAGATATAAAACAATGTAAAAAGACACAAAGTTACCCCAAAGAGGCACAAAATGACCACAAAGAGATATAAAACAATGTAAAAAGACACAAAGGTACCCCAAAGAGTTACAAAATGACCACAAAGAGAGGCAAAACAACTAAAAAAAGACACAAAGTTACCCCAAAGAGTCACAAAATTACCACAAAGAGAGGCAAAACAGCTAAAAAAAGACACAAAGTTACCCAAAGAGTCACAAAATTACCACAAAGAGAGGCAAAACAGCTCAAAAAAGACACAAAGTTACCCCAAAGAGGCACAAAATGACCACAAAGAGATATAAACCAACCTAAAAAACACAAAGGTACCCCGAAGAGTCACAAAATAACCACAGAGAGATGCAAAATAACTCCAAAGGGACACAAAACAACCACAAAGAGATATAAAACCACCACAAAGTCTGCTTGTCTTGCTCCTGTGTAGGAGAGGTGGTAGGGCCTTTTGCATATCGTTGCCCAGAGGCCCATTATCTCATAATCCACCCACGCCTTCATGTAACTGTTATTGAATTCTTTAAAAGGAGGAGAATACATGTTCTGAAAGACATCAATCCTTTACCTTGTCTTTTGAAAGATAATTAGTTGTAACATATCACCCTGGGCTGAATGTTTAACATATCTATTAGTTTCTTTCTTTCATCTTATTAACTTCTTTATACACCTGTGCCTGTAGAATCTTAGTTGCCAGTGAAGGATTCAGGTCCATTTGGGTATTTGTTTATCTTCCTTTCTCACATGTCCACTGACTCTAATAAGGCCCAGATGGAATCGGAGACTACCGGCCGAGATCAAATTATTTCCCTCGGTACATCGGTGCAGGCGCCTCATCACCTGAGGCCACAGGTGACCTCGGTTACTTGTGCCAAGCCGCACCACATGCACCTCCTCCTTTGCCCAGACAGAGCTGGGTAGGGGAGGTTGGCTGGGGCTGGCAGTGTAACCAGCTGTTGAACAGCGGGGTGCTGCTCAGCAACATGCAAATTAAGGTACGGCTAAAATCCGCTGTGTGCGTCTTATGCAAATGAGGATGTAGAAGTATTATCCTTCAGCTATTGTGCCACAAGGTTACACTGAGAATGACTCCAAGATATGGTTGGGTATGATGCAATATGCAGGGGTTTCATCAATTTTGGGATAAACAGAAGCACAGTTTGTTCAGCCTGGATCAGATTTTTTGAATTTTGTTCATCTTATATTTTTTAATATTTTGTTAGGTAAACATAATACACAATTTGTTGGGTAATAAATAGTTTTGTTTGGTAAGTGTTGAGCCGAGACATCATAAATATTGACTTCATCCTGTATAAATGAAAGAAAAAAGCTGAACTGAGTCCTCCTCCTCTGACAGAAGACGGATATACGGGCAGCGTTGGAGGACAGAGTGACTCAGAGGTTCCAGAACAAACAGTAAGACAGTATTTGCAACCCTCACGTTGGACACGTTGATTCAGAATCGTATTACGTGTGTGTGTGTGTGTGTGTGTGTGTGTGTGTGTGTGTGTGTGTAATGTCAAATGGATAAGTGAGAACATCTCAGGTTTGCACAGTGCTGAGTGACTGCATTGTAGGTTATCTGGGTCCCCCATCCATAATGCAACACTTCCACTTTTGCAGGAACACACACCGCCTCAAGCTGTAGATAAGCAATCAGCCACACAGACCCAGACACACCACTGACACAAATACTAACCAAAACATGTTTATCTTTGACCTTATTAACAGTTTCCTGAAATAACACATTATTAATGACCAACTACTCCTTAAACATGATGTTACTGTGACTATGTGATGAACATTTCATTCCCAATGGGACCTTATATTTTGTTCAACAACACTTGATGCAATAGAAACTCAATAGGAGGTTGTGGCTCTGTTTAGCTTAGCTGATCCTGATGAGCTGAGTTTGAGATGTCCCAAATAGGCCACGTTACAAAGGATAAACCCTTTTAATACTGGTAACAACATAGCCTTTCCTCTGGCACCATCCTCAGACCAAACCTTACAAATCTTTGTGATAAGGATTTAAGATAAGGAAAGATAATCCCTTATTCATCCCACAGACATTTGCAACATCACAGCAACAAAGGGAGAGTGCAAAAAGGAAGCATCAGTAGAAAAAAAAATTACAAGCAAATGGTATAAAAAGACAAAGCAGTATATAAAAGGGAAACATCAAAAAGAAGCAGAATATAATAAAGAGACAGAATGAAAGTGATTTCACATTGTTGACTGATAGAAGTATAGATACTGCATAGTTTAACAGTACTGATATTGCAGTGAGTGATTGATTGTAAGCAGTACACAATAATAAATATATAAATATGTTTTTTATATCAAGGAATAGAAAGAACTGATGGGGGAAAACTAAAAGCAAAAACCTTGATGAATGAGTAGAGAAATATAACAAATGCAGGTGCCTCCATGCAGGGCACAGGGGGTTAATGAACTGCATAAGATACATCAAAATTATATAATTAATAAACTTCAGTCACCAGATTGCACTCTCCACCAATAGGGCTGCAGCTTTCAGTGCTGAAACCTGAGCAATGAGCAACAAAAGAAGAAATGACCCACAAAAATTTGTGAGAAATTAGTAAAAAGAGAAAATTAAAAAACAAGAAAATTAGTTAAAAAAGAGAAGCTGAAAACAAACAAGGAAAAGTGCTTAAAAATTACAATAATTCTGCATAATGATTTTAATGATGTAATAATACTTCTAAACATAAGTTTTCACTAGCTTTTTTCATTTTTCCCTATTTTTTTAAATAATTATTTTATAAAATTTTAGCAATTTTTTTTTACCCATGTTTTTGAAAGAAATCGCACCAATTTGCTCAGAGTTCAAAGGTTTAAATACAAGCAGCACAAGAAAATTGATGGTTTCAAGCTTCAGGTTCCAAAGGATTAGTCTGTTTATTATTTTCTCAAGTGATAAATTAGTTGTTTAGTCTATAATAATGTCAGTGTGTGCTTCCCAAAGCCTCAAATGTCTTGTTTTATCCACAACACAAAAATATTTAGTTTGCCATCATAGAGGAGTAAAGACACCAGAAAATGTTCACATTTACAAAGCTGGAGGCAGATAATTTTGACTTTTTTTAAGAAACAAACCACTTACACCGATTCAATAATTATCAACTTAGTTGGTGCTCAGTTGAATAGTTGACAACTGATTAATTATTGCAGCTCGAGCCACCACCATGTTAAAAACACCAAAAGAGAGAATATCTTTTATAATGCATCAAGCAGCTGTAGCTAGAATTTGAGAAATACTGCAGCAGAACATAACCCTTCAAACATCAAATACATTTTGGATAAACCACACAACCAAATCAGTTTGTTGTTAATTTGTTAATTCCCAAAGACAGTCAAATTTGAAGGTATTCATTTGAAAATAACATGTGGACAATACTGTACGATGTGATGCGATGCAATGCAATGCGATGCGATATATTTTGTCTCGGACTCAGGAGCTGCACAAGTCTTGCTGTCTTACAACAGCAGTCTAGAGGAAATGAAAAGCATACACCACAAAAAAATGTACTACAAATAATTTAAAATGTTAACTCCTCTTTCAGATATATTCAAGACGTGACCTGTTTGCTCAGTGCTACTTAAGCTACAGCCTTTGTTGCATCTGTCCTGTAAAGACCCAGAGACTTTAAGAATCCATGCTCAGGTGCATTGAAGCTGTTGTGGTGGTCCTGTGACAGCCCAACAACTTACTAATACATTTTACTATCATGGTTTTTCCTTTAATTTGTCACTCTCTGTTTTTCATTCATTCAGTAATTTTGTCTTCTGGTCTCTAATGACTATAACAGCCTCATGGGACCACTGTGAGTTTACGGAGTTTTATTTTGTTGCTGGGAAGTGCACATTAATCTATGTCACTGTCTCAGTGTTAGCCAAACAGCCGGTTTGAAAGAGTCCAATCAACCATGTGACAAAAGCAAGAAAACCACAAAAAGACTCAAAATACAGTATGGGGAATGAACCAAATGGTATAACCATACAAGGAAGAAGCTGTCACTGACAAGACAGTGATGCCAGCAGTGAAACAACACATTAACCATGGAGACACAAAAATATTGTGACAGGCTATAGCCGAGCAGAGAGCAGACAGACGAGCTTACAGAGGCTAGTTAGGATGTCACTTCTGGTTGTGTTTGAGTCAGGTTTCAAGATTACATAAGGAACTGTCTATATGAAATGAAAGCTCTGACAAAGTGTTATGTGAGTGTGCATTTGTCATCACGTTTATCAAATGGGCACAATTTTTTTTGTTAAGGCTGCATTTTACATGAAGTATCTACTCACTGTTTAAATTATTCCTGAAACATGGCACCTCTTAGCCTTCACAGGTGCATCAATATTAGGTGTGCAAAGTCATCAGTGGGCTGCATTGGACCCTTTGGTGGGCCAGTTCTGGCCTTTGGGGCTGTATGTTTGACACCTCTGGTCTAAGTGGACATTTGTGCCAAATTTGAAGGAATTCCCTAAAGGCATTCTTGAGATATTGTGGTCACAAGAATGGAACAAATGGACAGACAACCCTAACACATAGTGCCTCCAGCCACTGTTATGGCTGGTGCAGAGGCATAACAACTATATATGTTGGAAAGCTTTGATAAAGTCCAAGCTATACATTCTTTTTTAAAGGTCAGGCTACCAGAGAAAAAGAAAAGATACTGCAAAGATAACACGTGTTAGGAAGTACTAACAGGGCTCAGATATGGTCTGATGGAGCAGGGAAGAAAACAAAAAGAACATCTATTTTTAAAGAGAATTTGTGAATGTCTCACATGCTATGCAAACACAGCAAGCAGCATGTTAAAATGCAGAGTGCAGAACACAACAAATCACCCTCATAACCACGGACAAGAAAGGGATTCAAGCCAACCAGTCTCGCCTTACTTTGCGCCCAGATAATGTATCATTTAACAGGTGAAAGAGGAGATGGACACACCCTAAATGCACGTCTACCATGCCCTTTATAGTAATAAATGATAATAATTTTATTTGTATAACATGTATGTAAGCAAGGTTACAAAGTGCTTTACAAAGTGCATGAAAATAAGACAACAATAACAATACAATATTTTAAAAGTTTGTTAAGAGCCAAGAAAAATAGTGTGTATAGTTACAAAGTTACAAATCAAAAAGTACAAATCAGGCCATTTAAAGGGAAAGCTTTCCTATAAAAAGAAAATGTGCTAGCCAGGCAGAGAATTTCAGAGCCTCTGGTCCTTGATGGCAAAGGCCTGGTCACCTTTAGTTACCAGCCTTGATCTAGGGACAACTAGTGAACATAGGCTTCAGACCATCTGCTATAGATTGTTTAAATAGGGTCTCTTAAGTGTGCTAATTTATTCAATTATATTTTTTTTCTGAACTGCACAAAGTTGTAAAACAGATTCTCCTAATTTAATTCATGAAACTAAATATATGGGAGCTTCGAAACGAAAAAGAATGACTTTCTTTAAGTAGTAAAAGAACATATTGAAATCCATACACTCTCAAACCAAGTCAGAAGGTTGTATAACCTTTGGAGACATTATGAAGGCAACAACTAACTGTCAAGTAAGCTCAATATGTGAGAGAACATTAAACAAATTAAAAACAACACACCCTGTAGGTACACATGTCAGTCGTTAATGTCAGTTGAATCGTGCCTGATTAATTTCCTCCACCGTCTCTATTTGTTTCCTCCCAGGAAGAACATGACGGATGACTCACTCCGAGTCAACACCAAGTTTCACAGAGACACTCAGAGCTAACAGCAGATGGCATTCTACTTCCCACGGCGGCTGCAGGACCTGACTGTTAACGAGCTGTGTCGAGTTTGATTAAACGTCTTTTAATCTCTGTACAGTGTTGACTTTTCAGCAGTTTTATTTTTCACACCTTCCAGCTTCAATGATTCAGACAGTGTTTTATAAAATAAATATAATTTTGTGCAGTGTTAATATTCCTAACTACTCTTCTCTCCTCATCTCACCACCTTTTGGAGAGTTCTACTCAGGGCAAAATCTTTTCAAACAAGGCCCCATTTTTAATGGACTATCTATACAGTCCATGGCATGATTATCTTTAGAATAACTTTTACAGCAAGAAATTCATCAAGGTTATTTGTGTTATGCACTCAGACTGCAAAACTGGATTTTCAAATGCTTTTTGAATTCATGTGACGTAAAGTACTTTTATTTGTCAAGTCTGAAATTCAATGGATTAATCAAACCAACATTTTTTCTGCTTGCTTATGTAACACAAATAGTTTCTACATTGATTTTCCAATGTATAGTACATTTTTGTGATACATACAGTCAGGTCCATAATTATTTGGACAATGATACAGTTGTCGTCATTTTGGCTCTGTACACCACCACAATGGGTTTTAAATGAAACAATGAATACCTGCTTAAAGTGCAGACTCTCAGCTTTCATTTAAGGCTTTTTTCAAAAATGTAGTATGAACCGAGAATGACAACCATTTCTTCACACAGTCCCCCAACTTTAAGGGCTCATAAGTATTTGGACAAACTAACATAATCATCAGTTAAACAGTCAGTTTTAATACTTGGTTTTAAATCCTTTACAGTCAATGACTGCCTGAAGTGTTGGACACATAGTCATCATCAGATGCTGGGTTTCTTCCCTGGTGATGCTCTGCCAGCCCTTTACTGCAGCCGTCTGCACTTCCTGCTTGTGTTTTGGGTGTTTTGCCCTCAGTTTTGGCTTCAGCAAGAGAAACGCATGCTCAATTGGATTCCGGTCAGATGATATGACTTGGCCATTGCAGAACATTCCACTTCTTTGCCTTAAAAATGTCTTTGGTTGCTTTTGCAATATGCTTCAGGTCATTGTCCAACTGCACTGTGAAGCATCGTCCAATGAGTTTTGAAGCATTTAGTTGAATCTGAGCAGATAATGGTGCCCCAAACACTTCAGCTTTCATCACGCTAGCATTGTACGTTTGTACGTTATTATGTAGCGGCTATACTCAAACTTTCGTTTAACCAAAACTGTGGTTAATCTTTAGGCACAAAATGTACTTGGTCAACACACACTTTCAGTGACAAAAACGCTGCTGGAAAGGCAGCAAGGGGTAGCTAAAAAACACCCGCTTTCTGTGGCACAAATGCTGCTAGAAATGCAGTGATGTCTAGCAGCGGGTGTTGTTGCTTGTTTGTCTCCAACAGTGGTCTGCAGCTTGCTTAAATGTCACGCCACCAACGATTTCCTCACCTTCCAAAAAACATCACAAAAAAAAAAAGTCAGCTCATGTGCACGTAATCAGAACTACACCACTTCAGAAATGCTGTTAAGCTATGTATGAAACGTACAAATGTGATATATTCGTGGTTTGCAGAAACGTAGAATGCCAACATTTTCATCTGATGACTAGACTGTACATTTTCAGGAAATTATTGCGTGTTGCAGAGCAGGTTAGAGGTAGCACTGGCTGCTGACGCTGCATGGCGTTAACTTAAAACAGGTTTATGATGGAGAAGATAGTGAGGAGACACGTAAGTTAAAGGTAAACAAGAACAGAGAAAATTAGTTGGATTTTTTTTTTCTTTTTGAATTTGGGTTGGATCAGTGGCTGTGTGTCAATGAACATGTTCAGGTTCCTTATTATTATCATGCACAAATTAATCACATAGATGCAGTCGAATATGTAGCCCCTATTTTATTGATTTTTATCGTTGACACAAGACGGGGAGGCAACCTTCGCCACCAGAGCCACTAGCAGCTCTTCAGCCCCTCTCCTGTGGCCCCATGTGGCTTTGACAAAACCATATCTGGAAACGAATAACAGTTATTTATTTATTTACATTTTAATTGCCATTTATCATTGTTGTAGGCCTAAAGAAATTACCCCATTCTCCAGAGGTAAAAATGTGAAGCCTAAACACCAAATAAAAATGTTTTAAAATTTTGTCATCTAAAATGTATGTCTACAGCCTGGTGCCTTTTCCTCTAAGGTTTGCCAAACCTTAATAGCAGTGGCTAGTCTTGAGTCCCCAAACTAGCTATGGATTCAAAATTAAAAAACAGTAAAAGTCTTGAAGACAAATAACAAAATTTGCTCTCACCGCCCAAGTGTGTGTTATCTTCATTATAATGCTCAAATGTGTTTTAAGACTCCAGGCAGATTTTTAAAAATATATTGTTTTGGGTCATAAAAGTTGCTGACCCCTGGCATAAGAGTTCCTCTTAGCTCAAAAAATTAAGGGACAATTTTGTTCCGGCACTGAGTAAATTTCCATATAACTTTTATTGTTTTTGAGTTTGTTTTACCAATCGGTTGTGTAATAACTTATGAATTTATTGTGCAACGTTATGCATTACGCTAATACGATACAAATCAGAGCTAGTTTTTATCTCTTCGGGGACCGACGACTATACATTTAATCAACAGTTTATTACATGATTAAAAACTGGGAGACAAACTTAAAAATGTCATTATCAGTTAAACATGTACAACAGGTTGTAGTCGAGATGCTTTCTGTCCTCTCGGCGTCCGTCCGTTTCTTGGCCGCGATGCATGATGGGTATATATTGCTTGGTGAGTGACCATCGGTGGATTGTGGGGTACTTTGAGTCCACTATGCAGGGTATACTAATTCCCACTATACACTGGACAGCACTACAAAATGGCGAACTCACTACAGTAGACAAGTGAGTAGTGCGTGATTTCGGACAAAGCCCATGTAGCTTACACTGTACGCATGCGCAGAACCGTAAATCACACATCGCGATAGTTTATCTGGCACACGACCGTTGACCACACTGTAACAGACCACTGAGACCTCGGAGATGTTTTCTTTTCATTTTAACCTCGATGTAAGGACATGTTTTTGATATCAGGATGTCTTAGGGCAAGTAAACTTACAGCGTCACATCTTTCTTGTCTTGACTTCTGTCATACTAAAGTTAGCCTCGCGTCACCAGGCTAAACGGGTCATGGAGTTGTTAATGGCGTCGACGCCGTGGTTGTAGCTTTATGCGAGTCGTTGGCGAGGATTTCGAGTAACCGGTAGGCCCGAGAAAAGGCTACAAAAATAAGAAAATAGATACTTTTATCAACTGTATGGACGAATCCACAATATTTACCAATACTTAACCTATTACTGTGTGTTTAAATGTACTTCGGCTCAGTTAGATTTAAATTTCAGTGAAGTGGTGACGTTAACTGTCATCTAACGTCAAGATTTTCTGTTGTTTTGTTAGTCACAATCAGAACCTACGCAGTTAATAAGTCGGACAGTACGTCCAAAACTTGAATAATGTATTTTAAATACATTTTTCTAACAGCTACTGCACATGTCTGGCATTTTATCCAGCAGAGGGTGCCACAGCTCAGTTGTGTTGAAGAAGATTTTTAGGAAAGACCTATTTTATTTGGTTGTGCCTCAGAGTTTTGGTATGCCCACTCAAAGTAGCCCATCTGTGTATCTCTGTGTGTGTTTTAATGTGTAGGCTACTAACTGCAGTCAGGTTTTATGTCTATTATTGACTGTCGAGCGCCATTTTGTTTTAAAACACAGAGACACTACATTATTTTATAATCCGCAGAGGATTCCTGTCATGATCCGCCTTCTAAGTGATGATATATATGAAATAATAAACACTGTTTTATGTATTGTAACATTGTTTAAACTGTATTTCTCCCGTTTTGAATTCCTATAGGATTACAAGGCATCACATGACCCGGAAGAGTCAACGAGTCACACTCGCTTCATCTGTTTCTTTACTATAATGTGCTTTTTGGCAATTCTGTCTATTGCCGTTCGTCGTACTTTAATCTTATTACCTCAACTGCCCTAAAACATTTGTTAAGCTTCTAAACCCGTCACTTAGAACAACCATACGGTGAATAACCCTGTCACACTTGCTATGCTATAGTATCGCTTCCTTGTCTTTGGACATCGATTAAGTGTAATATCTATTCTCACTTGAGTCAATCTCAAATGGTTTCATAGCTACTGTAGCTGTGCACGAAACGAAACCAGTTTTTGGGATGGGGAGTTGGATTAGAGTTCGCTTTGTCCACTCCACGCATCGACCTGGTATTGCAGTACCTCCAGGCACGGTGCACCACCCTATTAATGTTGAATATTAAACAGGACATTATTCAGAGATCCATAATGACGAAATTTAACAGTATCATATGTATAATAAGTTTGTTTTTTGCAAGCAGCACACCGGTTTGTGATCTGTACATTTAGCAGTATTTTAATTTTTTTGTGACAGTTGTTATTAATGATTAACTTTTTTAGGATTTATTTTGTCCTCAGACGTCTTCAGGTGTGACACCATACACAAATGCCATACTTCAGTCATACTGATGATCTGTGTGTGTCATTGTATATATTGGTTGCATCTGTTTTCACCCTACTGGTAGAGAGATTTGTTATATTTAGCACCCAACTGTCAAGTAGGAACAGTCTCTTTTTTTGTACTCATTTCATCTTTGAAATGTTATTTGTTTTAAATATTTTGTCATTGTCTGTGAAGCACTTTGGGCTGCATGATTGTATAAACGGTGCTATATAAATAAAGTTTAATTTGATTTTTGATTTGCTGTAAGCTATTTCTTCCATTTTTCATCTTACTGTTTGCTAGTGTTTATATTATATATTGAACCTTACTGTGACCTAGTTCTTATATTCTACACCTTAATCTAGTTTATTTAGGTTTATATTTGCTATACCTTGCTTTTTCTACTTTGTAGTCTATATTGCATGCTTTGTATTGGGATAAATAAAGTTCTGCCTTATCTTCATTCTTGTTATAAGAGCAGGAGGCTGCAAAAGGGAGACATGTAATTCATATCACTGTAAACAGATCAAAACAATAACTTGTTGAGTGAGACAAGATTGATAAAGAAAACGTGTTGTGTTCATTGTCCTTTCAAGGCTGCATGTGAGGAAAAATATAAATAATATTGTTCTTTTTTCTTCTGCTTTGTTTGATTGTGTTGTTAAGCGTCATTAAACTTCAATTTGAATTGAACTGTCAGATCTGTTTTTGTTTATTAGGCGAGCTCATTCCCCAAATGTAAAAATCTCAGAAATAGAATAGTCTATTCATTATTTTTTTTTATTATTAGCAATGTCAATGGAAATCCTCTCTGCATAATTTCTGCTGCTGTTTCCCAATCTGCTTTCTACTGACTTATCAAAAGAAGGGCAAATATTCCTTATATGTGTGCACTTAATTTTCTGTTATCTAAATTACTTGTGCTGTTAATTACATGCACACATTGTATATATTTCTTGTTCTTATTTCTCTTTATGTATTTTGTACTGTTAAGTGTAGCATAATGCACATATTTTTTATATTTAACTTGACCTACTAGTTTTATCCATTTTAATGTCGTGTAAAGTACATATTTTTATATTTATATACACTTTACACGTTTTGTATTTAAATTGTATTTATTTTAATTATATAATTTAATTTTATTTATATTTAAATCTTCCTTTATTATAAGCATAATGCACTTATTTTTATATTTATTACATACTTCCTATTTTTCTACTTATATCTAATCAGTATAATTCTTTATAATTGACATCAGAGCGACTGTAATGTGTCACAGATTTTCCCGAGGGATCCATAAAATATTCTGATAAGGATTCTGACGCTCATTGATCAATAGACTGTTCAATAAACCAGCCTGGGCAATAAACTCATCTTGCACATGCTGTAATCTCGCGTTGTTCTGCGTGATTTGGACAACTTCAAGTTACGCCCCCTTTTCAGGTTACGCCCCGTACATTCAGTCCGCAGACAAACCCCCTCTCCGCCGGCCGGGTTTAGCTAGGTTAGCCGAGAGAAGTGTCTGAAATCACCCTGTCCTTAAAATGTCTCACCCGATACCGTCTGACAAGCCTTCAAACCCCGAAAACCCTCGTGTCTTCTTCGATGTAGACGTTGGCGAAGAAAGAGGTCAGGACACTTTAATTTTAACGTCTGCTAACTGCTTTTTAACGGCCAGTTTAACCGTTAACTTTAGCCTTGTTAGCTTAGCACAACCCTGGCTCGTTGCGTTAACTTCTAGAAACTGATACATACATTTTGGTAGCTTCCAAAAGACTTACAGCTCACGAATAGGCCAGTTTGTATGTTAAAATCGACACGAGCAGCTGGCTAATTATTAATATGAGAAAACGTGAGCTATGAGTCAGATAAATGGTGATTAAACGCTATAGAGCCTGTGAGTTTGAACCACGTGTGGTTGTATTGAGAATGACTTGTAAATTTAGCCTTGCTGTCATGTCACTGTAATATACCGGTAATAGTCGCAGCAGTTGTTTTGCATTAATCATATGTGTAGGTAGTTTAATATTAGCTCATTTGGGTTAGCATGTGTTTTAACTGGCTGCAGCTAACAAATTAAAACACATCAAAAGCGACACTGTATTTTACAGTAGCCTGATGAGGCCTGTTTTGTAGGGTAGATTTAGCTGTGTCAGATCATTTATAATGCGTCCTAAATACCTCAATGCCCTGCTCCACATTAATTTGATTTTGGTAAAGGTAGCAGTAATGTTACAATAATGTTAATATGCTTTATATGTGCTAACTTGATCAAGACTACACCTTGGTTTGTGTAGTCAATCAGAATCTGTACTGATCACTGATTATTTTGTCTCTGCCCACAGCTGGCCGGATTGTTCTGGAGCTGTTTGCTGATATCACCCCCAAAACTGCTGAAAACTTCAGGGCACTCTGCACTGGAGAGAAAGGCACTGGCAAATCCACTGGGAAACCGCTGCACTTCAAAGGATGCCCGTTCCACAGAAGTAAATATCCACTGCTTCTGCATATAGTGGGACATATCAGTTAGGAAGGACACCTTGAAGTTTTAGTGCACACATTGGGTCTCATTCATGAAACATGAGCAGAACAAATTTGTGTTTAAACTGCTCCCAGAAGGACACATACCTGTATTTCTGTATGCATCATGTCAGTAGCTCAGATTTTTTCGTAGGTACTAACAACATCTACACCTGCTTTGGACTGCTCGTAGTCCTCATTCATTCATTTTCTGTAACCGTAATCCTGTTAGGTGTTGCGGGTGTGCTGGAGCCTATCCCAGCTGACATAGGGCGAGAGACGGGGTACACCCTGGACAGGTTCCCAGACTATCACAGGGCTGATACAGAGACAGAAAACCATTCGTGCCTACGGGCAATTTAGGGTCCCCAATGAACCTGCATGTCTTTGGACTGTGGGAGGAAGCCAGAGCACCCAGAGAAAACCCACGCTGACACGGGGAGAACATGCAAACTCCACACAAAGGGGCTCCCCCACCCAGGGGTTCGCAGCAGGAACCCTCTTGCTGTGAGGCGACAATGCTAACCACTGCATCACAGTGCCGCCATGAGGAACACATTAATATTGTTTGTCATTATTAGAAATTACAATTATAATCCGTATTGTGTTCTGTTATGTTCAAATTACGTTTAGCAAAGTTTAACAAGACAAAAGTTTAGAAATATAACACATTTAGATGAATTATTTGGCAATTAGCAGATTTAAGCTTCAGATTTTGTTTCTTAAAAATGTGGGTCATTTAAATCGACTAAATACATGTGTTTTCTGCATTTCTGGCATCCCATTCCCACTTCAATCAATCAGGAGAGAGAGCTCCACAGATTTATCTTCTGTTAGAGTGGCGAGACTGTGAGAGCCCCTTTACTGACCGCACATGAAGCTATCAGTGATGGCAGTGAGAATGTATAGCGATGTCACACTTAGTACAACACCTTACCTTCTGAGTTTGCTATTGACTGCTTGAGTGGAAGCATGTTGTGAGGTCCCTCGAGTGATGCAAGCAGTGCGCTTATCTGCAGCTGTGACTGGGAGGAGCCGCCTCCTGTAGCTGGTGTGGTTTTTGTGTGTAGTGATGCGACAAGTTTCATAACGAACCAGTTTCATTTGACTTCTTGGATGGTTCTTTCTTTGTTTGCTCCATGTTCTCAGGTCGACAGGATGCACATGTCCGTAGTAATTCTCACCTCCATATATGGTCGTTTCTAGCTATTCATGGGCGGGGTTGTATGATAATTGCAGACTAGCAGGGAAGTGTGCTGTCAGTTTACAATTGATTGGCATTCATGAACATACACAGGTGCCTACGATCAAATCAGAATTTTCTACAGGGTTCATGAATCTGGTGTAGGTTTTGTATGTGCAAGTCTACTCACAGATTTACTAACATTTCATGAATGATACCCATTGTGTGTAGAAGTAGCTACAAGGACGTCAAATGCAGTGAGCCACATGGAGAATCTAAAGTTACTTTCCTACTGAACTCTTTTTAAAAATACCATTTATTTAACTGTACCATTCATTAAAATCCATTAGTATAACTGCATGCACTTTTAAGTTTTAAAAAGGCTGAGTGGGGCAAACAAGTCACAATAACGGAATTAAAAAGCACTTATTCATGCCTGAGGCGGTATCATATTTAAAATGTAAACTAATTGAGTGGATTTTAACAGGCTAATTGAACCTGTGGCTCTTAACTTTTTAAGTTAAGGAGCCTAAATCACTGGCATTCAGTCTGGAGTATCTGAAAAGTAATCTGGCTGTAAATTTGTTTTTGCCAGTCATCAAGAAGTTCATGGTCCAAGGAGGTGACTTCTCCAACCACAATGGCACCGGTGGTGAGAGCATCTACGGGGAGAAGTTTGAGGATGAAAACTTCCACTACAAGGTAAACTTCTTAACACCAGAGTCCCCATTATCTGTGTCCACTGCTAGAAAATTTTAAAGGGGTCTACACTTGTGCTTAGTTTCTTAACTCACTGTCAATATTTGTTAGCGGCAGTAAGACCAAGGCATTCTTGACTACAGAAATAAAAGTCAGACTATTTTACATACAGTATCAAACAATAGACCTATCCCTCCAGGATGTCACAGCGACTCTCTGAGGAGTATACTGGAATCTTTATGGTATTATCTCCATGTCTGTTCCAGCACTCGCCATCTGTCGCTCAGTAAATTCTATTAGATCCTAAAAAATATCCTCTGAGATTGTACCATACCATTTAGCTGCACTGCATTTGGGCAGTGAAAGCCACATATCAGTGGAACACCCTGCCTGACAATGTGAGCAGCTGCAGCTCTATCAGCACTTTCAAAACCAACTTTAAAAGTCTGTGAAAAGCTGCTCTGCTCTGGAGTCACTGACCTTGAATTCTATTTTATGGTCCTAGTGAGTTGCTTTTCTTTGACAAGCATGTATTTGTGATGTGCTTTCGTGTGAAGCCTTTTATTCTGTGTCTTTTCTTTTTTGTATAACTTTGTAGTAAGGTTTTACTGTTACTGTTTGACCCACAAGATGCAAATGAGCTTAAAGCTATAATCTGGTACGGTGCATCAAATGGGGACATATGGTTTTAACTGTACATGTTCCATTTTAAATTAAAAATGTGATCCTCTAATTAGGCAAGAAGGTATTAGAATAAAAACTTCTAACACAGAAATGATCACACAACCTTCTCATCCTTACCTGTTTGCTTGTTCCTGTTTCTCTGTGTCAGTAGTGCCATCTTTTGCCTGTTGTAATAATTGATTCCTTTCTCCATGTAGCATGACAGAGCGGGTCTGCTGAGCATGGCCAACGCTGGGCCAAACACCAATGGCTCACAGTTCTTCATCACTACTGTGCCCACTCCACACTTAGACGGCAAGCATGTAATCTTCGGACAAGTGTTGAAAGGGATGGGAGTCGTAAAGTTGCTGGAGGCCATTGACACTAATGAGGACGCCCCTGTAAAGGTAAACATTTCAATTAAAATTAGTAGAGTTTGATTATAAAGCAATGTATTAACATTTTTGCAAAGTTGGCACCTTGTCGTTGCAGAGTATGGGTGCTTTCAGACCTAGAGTTGTCTTGCTTTGGTCCGAATCAGCCACTGATTTTGTTAGAGTTGCATAATTGCCTAGAGTTGGTTCGTGTTCTCACGGCAGCAGTAACAAGGGGACCAGATCAAACA